CAAAAACATCATTTTTTTATAATTTTTGTTTATGTGTCTGTTTGTTCCGGCTAATCTCTGAAATGGCCAGACCGATTTTGATGGGACTTTCACTGGCAGATAGGTGATGTAATAAGGAGTAACTTAGACTACTTTTATTGTAGAAAAAAAATAGGGTCCCACAAACAAATTACAACCAATGAAAAATTTAAAACTATCCGATTCAAAAAGGGAAGTTGTATCCAGACTCTATTATTAATTAGCAATGTCGAATGACTCGATCAAGTACGAGTCATACTTCCCCACTGAGAGCTCCTTAAGGTATACGTATGTATGTATTTACCCCTTTTTAACGTCACACTGCTGGGCACGGGAGCCCCTTCAATGCGAGGGGGATCAGTGGCCACTGACCAAGTGCAAGAGGACTTCACATGTCTTTCGAAAACTTGCTAGGTTCTCTTAGAACTATAGGTTTCCTCGAGATGTTTTCCTTCAGTATACAACCACGCAACAATAAGAAGGTATTTAGTGTGGTTACGTATTTACCAATATTGGAAATAAATGGTCGCTGAAGACTAGAGCAAGTTTGACTTGACTTACACTTGGCCAGATTGTAAAATATTTCTTTTATTATTTAACAGGCGAAGGATGGCAATGACATGCGGTATATTAAATTATATATTAAAATTCCTACATCCGTCTCGAGCTGGTCGAGTGTTTGGAAGACGTATTCAAATTTTCAAATCTCGTTAAAAGTTTTTAGAAATATTTAGAATTGCTAAATGAATCCTTGCAAAAAATATTTTTGTAATATTGTATTATATGTATATAATGTATTATTATATTTATAATGTGTATGAATTTAAAGTTATATATGTAGCGTATCAAATATCTGATCATCCGTATCAGAAGCCTCGTAGCTTACCCTAGAACTGGAGATTCTGTGTGTTAATGTCGTAACATATTTATTTATTTATTATAAAAAAAAATCTACAACTAGTTTACTGCTTATCCTGTGGTTAGTTATAGAATATTTTTCCAAATTTTATTAATATTAATTTAAAAAATTCATAATAGTTGATAAGCCAAATACGAATACCATTTGACGAAATTGAAACGCCATAATGTAAAGGAAGGAGTATAATGAAACAAATCGCAATACTTTCGAAAAGTATGAAATTAAATAGAATATTAACTTCGATAATCGATTACGATTTACGAACGTTACAAAAATGTTTCTTGTATTTTTATCTTATATCTATAAACGAGCAATTCTTGTATGTGTATATATATATATATATATATATATATAATCTGAATTCCCAAGGAGCGTTGACGTCAGGCAGGCGGCCGGTCGTAAAACTTTTGCCAAATCCTATCAGCAGTACAGAAGATGTACTGCGCCGACCCCAAGGGATTGGGAAATGGGCAGGGAAAGGGGCAGGGAAAGAAGAAGATATATATAATCTGAATCTCGGAAACGGCTCCAACGATTTTCATGAAATTACAGGTGGTTTCGGGGGCGATAAATCGATCTAGATTAGTCTTGTGTCTGAGAAAACGCGTGTTTTCGAATTTTTATGCAGTTTCGTTTGCATTACTCCACGCAAAATATGCTCGGTAATTTGCACGCTTGGGCATAAGGTGTTCGAATCTCGGTCGCATACAAAGTTTTTACTTTTGTTTTAATATTTATTCCAGTTTTTAGTTAAAAAAAAAAGAAAATTGTACTTTAGGCAAAAACTCCGAGCGAAGCTCGGTAGCCCAGGTACTTATTCATTATAGCAGCAATAAAAATAAATACTCTGTGAAAATTTCAACTCTACCAATTACGGTTCATGAGATATAGCCCTCTGACAAAAGGACGGACAGTCGGATGTATAGCGGTTTAGAATAGGGTTCCATTGGTACCCTTCGGGTACGGAACCCTAAAAAGTAGTAAAGTACGACGAAAGCCAAATTTAGATAGATATAACTATGTAATTATACTTATTTTAATGTTATCTATACTAATATTATAGAGGTAAAGTTTGTGAGTTTGTAAGTTTGTCAGTTTGTGTCGTTGTAGGGGATAATCTCTGGATCTACTGAACTGATTTAGATAAAATTTGGTAAGAAGATAGGTTGAGACCCTGGAAAGGACATAAGATAGTTTTTATCCCGGAAATCATCCCTTAAGAGGATGAAAATGGGGACGAAAGTTTGTATGGGGAAGAAATCTAGGGACGAACCCGAGCGAAGCGAGGGTGAGTCGCTAGTCTTTAATAATTTTAAAATTATTTATTTTGCTTATTACTCTTATGTCAGCTATAAGCGATGTAAAGTGCATACTTTGTACGATAAAATAACCATTGAGTCTTACGGATTTCAACTAGATTTTTATAAAAAAAAATTTTTGGCCAGACATTTTAAAGAAACGCTGAAGCTATTTAACAACTGCAACCTCTTAATGCGGAACAGACACCCGTAAGAGATTCTTCACCGCAAAATGTTTGCCGTTTTCAACAATAAGTCGAAATTTTTTAACTAGGCGGTTTTATACTAGCTTTCGCTTGGTACGTTGATTACCGCGGCTCATCTGTACTAATATTATAAAGAGGTAAAGTTTGTGAATTTGTGGGTTTGTGAGTTTGTGACGTTGTAGGGGGTAATCTCTGAATCTACTGAACCGATTTAGATGAAATTTGGTAAGACAGTTTGAGACTCTGGGAAGGACATAGGCTACTTTTTATCCCGGAAATAATCCCTTAAGGGGGTGAAAATGGGGATGAAAGTTTGTATTGGGAGTTAAGCTAGGGACGAACCCGAACGAAGCGAGGGTGAGTCGCTAGTACTTTATAACATTGTGATATTATAACTCTTTATTAGTAAAAAAATATTCACTGCTTAATATTAGCATACATGTAGTTTCAGTATAACAATAAATAAGTTAATTTAAACTCCTTGTTAAAGTACATATATAATGAGTTTTTCATTAAAAAAGAACCTGTTAAATCAAAATATATATATATATATATATACCTATACAGCCACCAATTGACGAAGCTATTGCACGAAATGAATCGCTCCTCGTGTTTTTAAGTCTGTCAAAAAGATCAATAGTCGAGTTTCTTTCCGAACTGATAATACCTGCGATCATTGAGATTCCGCAAAAAATATCGTTTTACAGCCAAATACATTTTTAATATTGCAATTATGAATTTTAATGAATAAATACACAATCTTTTTTTTGTGTTTTATCTTTTTTATTTTTTTTTAAAGATGAAGGATGATCTGTATAAATTAAAAAAATTCGGCTATTTAGAGTTACTTTCATAGTGAATTTGAAGACTGTGTACATTTTTAGTCAAAAAGTTATTATCAAGGGTTCGATTCCAATTCAAAAACCCAGCATATACTTAGACCGTTTGAAAATCATGCATATTTTTTCTTATATGCGCAGTTTTTATTATTATATAATAATGAAAATATAATTTATTATCTATTGATAAGCAACGGTTCAAATTCTATTTCTTTACATTTAGGTCAGTATCTCCCTAAAATAAAGCTTTTCAGGTGGGCAAAGGTTGTCACTTTAAACATTATTGTAATTTAAAACTTTATCCCATACTAGCATTGCCCGCGGCTCCGCCCGCGTTCAGATAACCAAAAACCAAATTCTTAGGTTTTACATATTAATATATTCTTACATTGCAGTTTTTGTATTTTTCTCAGAAATAAGATATTTTCCCGCTTTAAAAAGTATTCTATATGTTGACCTGGATAACCAGCTATCACCGTACAAAATTTCATAAAAATCCCTCCAGTAGTTTTCCTGTGATGCGGTAACAGACAGAGAGACAGAGAAAAATTCTTAAAACTATAGATTTAGCCTCTGTATCAATAATAATGTTTATTTCAATAAGATTTTCCAAAAAAGATCTAATGTACAGATTCGGCTTAGTTACAATTTTATTATATGTATAGATTAGTATGCCACACGACATCATACTATGGAAGTAGCTCAAATACACTAAGTGGAAGATTTGTATCTGCATCAGTCAGGAAAATAGCTTTTTTAACAGCTGACACTTTAATATGATGTCTCGACAGCAATTTTAAGTATATTTAAAAAAATGTTATTTTTACATACCTTCAATATAATGATTTTTTTACTATTTAATAATGTATCTACCACTACAGTGATTCAAAATTACGCTAGTTGTTATTAGACTGTCTATAAATAAAGTTTATGTTATTTTATTACGTTTTCTTTATTCTACAAAATCTACGAAATAAGCTTATTTAAAGAAACTTGTGTTAATATTTTTTATTAAAAACTTACCCTTACTTATGCGCGAATCATTTCCTACATTTACAACTTGCCTTACGGTGAAGGAAAACATCGTGAGGAAACGTGCATGTCTGAGAGAACCTAGCAAGTTTTCGAAAAGCATGTGAAGTCCGCCCACACTTGGCAAGCGTGGTGGACTATGGCCTGATACCCCTCGTATTGAAGGTAGGCCCATGCCTAGTAGTGGGACGTTAACAAGGGTTGACAACAACAACCCTTATTACGTGTTTTAATATTACCTTAGTGACCTAGTCTTAATAGACTTGCGGTTTAAAACTCATCGACCTCAAGAACAAAGTAAAAAGTCGAGTTTAATTGTATAAAACAACCCTTTTATTTGTCGAGGTACCTATTACAGTAAAATTTATAACCCTATTGTTCCGTTCGAAGCCTAGGCGACCTAGACTAGCCTCCCCTCGGGAAATCAACCATAACACTTTTGCACACAATGGAATTACCCATTAATCATATCAGCGTATAAATGACTGTATCGTGGTATTATGAATCACCTTCCGGTTCGCTGATAACAAAACCAGAACAGGTAAATTTGACTGCAATTAAGGAAAATACATAAAAAGTTATCAAAAATCTTCGAAATCCATCAAATATTTACTATAATAATTACATATATCAAGTTGGAAAATATCTTAGAATATTTAACTATTTTGTAATCAAATACAAAACAAACCTTGACGGTTCGTAGCGCGCCGTGTGCGGCGTCCTCCGTCCACACCTTGACGCCTTCCTTCTCGTACTCCAGGTTCCATCCATCTTCAGAAGCCAGGAGTTGTTTCAGGGTTTCGAAATCGGAATCTTCGGCTACGCGTGCTTCACCACGCGCCCAACCCATTCGCGCGGCATCCCCCGCTACCACAGTGGAACTGAGCCCTGAATAGTCGATTGTACAGACCCCCCGCAATCTTGCACACAAGTACAGCAACCCGCAGTTATCCTAGCACTCAACTTTTGGGCGCACTGTACGCACATGCGTAGTGCTAGGCGGTTTTTTCGACCGAGCTCATTGTTTATAAGTAATGCGAAGTGAGACTCAAAAAGCTCGCTGCAAGTAGGCTTTGTTACGGGAGTACGTTTACGTTTTTAATTACTTAACCGTTTTTCGTGTAACTTTCTGCGATGTTGTAAATATTATGACATGCTTTGGTAAGAATTATGTAAGCTATATTCTATTGAGGCTTCGTTAGGGAAGTTTGATTTTCTTATAATATACCACGCCTCAGTACAAAATAATAGATATATTTTATTATTTTGCTCGATTAATTTTTAAATAATATTAAGCTAAGTTTAGACTACGACATCAATTGGGACATAAATGTCAGATATTAATTCTTGTACTGTTCACACTTTTAAGAAATTGTAGTGTCTGAGTAATGTTTGTATATAAATATACGGATATTGTTTCCGAGCTGTTCACACTCCTTACTCAACATGAAACCTGATTTAAGTACTACCTTCTACGCGGTGCGATTGAAAATATCGAACCTGTTCGAAAACTTTTCAACCATACGAGACACTTGGACACAACGTGTTCCCACAGCCCCTGATGCGACACTAATTATCGTGTCGCAATAAATTTCACAATTAGAGACACTCGCGTTCACATAAAGACACTCGGTGTATACACTGAGTGTATCGTGTATAGTGTCTTAGTCTGAACTGGGCTTTAGTGAGTAAAGCCTTCTAAAGAAACGGTGTACTTTCGCTTATGTTTTTCAAAGTTCAAAGAAGATTACATTAAGCTCTTTATGAATAATTAATTCGAAACTGAAAAGTTACATGAACTTCTAAATCACTTCAAAAGTAATATTCCACCCTTACAGTTTAATTTTTTCTTGTTAAACAAAGAAATCCCAAAAGCTAGCCCACAATTGAATGTATTAAAATCTTACAAAAAATACGCATACCTACCTAAATTTATCTATACGTATAATAAAATTCTAACTGAGGCGAATCTGTGTATTAAATATTTTTTGGAAAATCTTATTGAAATAGTCATTATTATCAATACAGAGGCCGAATCTATAGTTTTTAGAATTTTCGTCTGTCTGTAACGATAGGTTTTAATGAAATTTGGTATGATAATAGCTTTTTACTGCGGGAAAATATCTCATCTCTGACAAATCTATACTAAACAATAAAACGTAACTAACATAGCTAGTATAAAATAAATTCGTTAAGGTTGTATTATTTATTATTTTAGAGATAAAGTAAATGTACCTATCTTTATATATATATAATTCTTCTGTGAGTGTGTATGTCACTGAACTTCTCTCAAACGACTGGACCGATTTTGATGAAATTTTTTGTGTGTGTTCAAGGGGATCTGGGAATGGTTTAGATTCACAATTTGAATAATAATTTTCATCAAAAAAATTATTAAAAAAAGTTTGAAATTTTCAAATTAAAGACGTGTAGACAGGACAACGTCTGTCGGGTCCGCTAGTATTTTATATAATAAGAAATCTAAATTGTATCAGTCTAATATTAGCAAATACACCGCAACAATCGTTAACATGAATCTACAGGTGCTTATAAAAATTGGAGTTACAGTCTGTGTTCCAAATTATCGTCCCCATTAATAATTCGATATAAGTATCCAATAGCCCCAATTTGTTGACGTAATATACTAGTTCTCTTTCTTCATTGACCGACATTAAAAAGGAGGTATTCAATGCTGTTGAATATTTTTTGTGTATATTATGCGATATCTCGCTCTAGCTAATATTACGAAAAGATTTTAATTTTTTTTTTATTAATAAGTAATTTATTTTAATGATCGAGCGAGCGAAGCGTTGAAGGCGAAAAAACTTTGCTTTTCTCTATCAGTTTGTTTGTTGGTACATCTCTACAGGTCGTATTTTACAACCGATCTGGACGAAACTTGGTATACGGGTTTTACGACTTCATAGTTTTTTTTCATCAGTGATTTTTGATTGGAGGGGTACTTCCTCCAAAAAATGGCAAAAAGAGCTATTGGATATCCGCCTTATGAGATTCGTTTTCGACGGTTCTTTTTCATTTGAATGGTAGTAACTTTAAGTTGGTCTCATAAAAAATTGGTTAAGATCTGATGAGGATCTTCGATGTAATGAGCAGAATAGCTAGTGCTCGCAGAACTACTAATACTCGTATATTTATGTAATTCAGACAATCGATTCAAACCGATTGTCATTAAAAAAACATGTGTGTTGTAATTATGTAAGAATTTAAATACTTTTGTGACATAACAGAACAAAAATAGCTAAAGATTCATCCCGTATGTCAAAACTCTCTGTTCGTAAAAGGAATGCAGCTAACTTTATCATGTCGCTTTTTGGCTGTCATCGTAAAAATTTTACTTTCATATTTTTTCCAAACGTGCCAAAAGAAGTATACCTTCAAAGATGTAGCCAAAAATAATTAAAATTAAGTAGGTATAAAGCTGATAAAAATATCTTAATGCACCATATCTTCATATAACAGGATAAAAAGTATCTCAGTACAAACAGTCAATCTGGCAGTACAAACAGATTAATATTCTGTTGCTACGTGAATAAAGAAAATGATATACAAAAAGGTTATCTTAAGACTTTAATTATAACTTTATTGAACAATTTACTTATTTACATAATAAAAGGTGGGTATTGTACGTGCAAAATTTTTGTATAATAAAAATAGTACAAACTAATATAAAATATAATAGATTTTTGACTAACGTATTTAAAATAAAAAGTTATTGGATTACATAGTAATCTATACATATACCTAATGAAATAGTAAAAAAGCGAAATCTATGTATGAAATGTTTTTTAACCGACTTCCAAAAAGGAGGAGGTTCTCAATTCGTCGGAAGCTTTTTTTATGGTGTTCACCGATTACTCGAAGACGCCTGAACCGATATGGATTTTTTTTTTGTTTAGAAGGATTTACTTCCCAGGTCATCCCATTTAAATTTTATCGAAATCGCTTAAGCGGTTTTTTAAGATCAACGATATATTTTTTTTTAATAATTTTTTTACTCGAATATGTAATTAAAAAACTTTCTTCTTACAAAGCCGATGCAAAAGCAAATCTAATATATTTCAATACGTAAAATACATATTTAGCTATTAGATATTCATATCTTAAAATATTGTCGGCTGGCACCGACTTCAAAAATATCTGATTAGGTATCTATTCTAAATGAAAACCCCCGTTTAGTTATTTTTTTCATTTTAGTGCCTGGAAGTCGGTTTTTTTATGTTTATATTTTTCGGTTTTTAGTGTAGACATAATAATCAGGTAATTTGTAAGAAGAAAGTTATTTAATAACATATTCGATTAAGCAATTTATTAAAAAAATATATTTATTGTTGATTTTTTAAAAAGCCGCTCGACCGATTTCGATAAAATCTATATGGCACCACCTGGGAAGTATACCCTTTGAAAGAAAATCCAAATCGGTTCAGGCGTCTTTGAGTAATCGGTGAACATACATAGAAAAAAGAAAAAAAAGATTCCGACGAATTGATAGCCACCTTTTTGGAATTCGGTTAAAAAACCGAGTCAGGGTAATGTAAAAAAAATTATAATTTGTATCTCTGTCTGTTTGTACGGGCTAATCTCCGAAACTGTTGAACCGATTTAAATGAAGGAATGATGAATTTAGGTTTAAGAAAAAAATAGGCTAATATTATACTGTCTCTGTGAAGGGGAAAGGAACAAATGACTAAAAATACAAAATAATTTATTATTATTTCTATTATTTATACTTTATTCTCAAAAATGCATATTAATATAATATATAGACTCCATCTTTATAATTCCTTAGTCTGAGGACGCAACATAGGAAGAAATGGCGGGTAACTTGATAATCATGAAAACACTTAAAAGGATTTATCGACCCTATAGCCGGTTTGGGATCCATTTAAATTGAGCGCGAAAATAAGAGATGTGATCGTACTTCCGCAAGTCGAAGATTAAGTGTAAGGGGAAATTTGAAGATGCTCTCGAACGAACTTAATTTGTTAACTAAATAGAATATTTCAGCATAAACAAAGATAGGTAAAGAGGGTTTTTTTTAGAAGGACTGAAAGCATTGGAGATACTTGAGGATGGAAGGTGAGATGGATTCTCATGATGGTTAACATGAGCCTTGTCACATATAAAGCTGCCTAGAATATGTTACAGTTCTTGATTAGGTTAAAATTTTTACCTGGATGCTGCAAAGAATTGAAATCTCTAATTAAAACAACGCACAAATTCAAGTATTGTCACATTAATAAATATATTAATTACCATTACAACGAAGTAAGCTGAATTATTTGTTTGGGCTAAAACTAAAAAAAACTTTCACTGACAGAATATACCTGACATAGGCATTTTGTACTCTACTATCTAACTATGTTCTATATATTACCTACTAGCGGCTCACCCTCGCTTCGCTCGGGTTCGTCGCTAGGTACGTTTTAAATAGATATAAATAGTTATTAGCCAGTGTTATTAGCCATATAAATATTTTTTTTTGTTAATTTTTCTGACGTTTTAATACTTAGGTATTAACCTATTCCGGAATGAGAGAAATCCAAAAATTCAAATATCATAAAAATTGGTCCAGCCGTTCTAACGGGCTAAAAAGTATCCTATGTCCGTCTCCTGGTTCTAAGCTACCTCCCAAGTTTCAGCCAATTCGGTTCAGCCTTTCTTCAATTATAAATAGTGTAACTAACACGACTTTCTTTTATATATATAGATATAATACGGTCGTATGAAATGAATTTATATTTAACAACTTCTTAAGAACTTACAAATAAAATTGTAGATTTTATTAAATGTTTTTCTCAAAACTATTCAAATATTAAGTTTTGCAGGTTT